CCAACCTGATCTTCAACACGCCCCCTTCGAAGCACAGCTTCGAAATCTTAGGCGCAAATGCCCACTGTATGCAACAAGTAACGCAAAAGAGTCTTGTTTAAGGGCTTCATGAATGTGTCCGCGGGATTCTCCACGCCCTTCACCTTGTATAACTCGATCATTCCCTTCTCCACTTGTGCACGCACGTAGTGCCACCGCAATTCGATGTGCCCGTTCGTCGACTGTAGCTCGGGTTCGTCGCCATTACCAGTGCAGCCTGGTTGTCGATCCCTAGCCGAAGTTTCACGTCCTTCGTCATCACAATCTCCTGTAATATGTTGCTTTCAGCAATAGCCTCCATTGTAGCTTCACATGCTGCTACGTATTCGGCCTCAGCCGTGGAAAGTGCCACAATAGTTTGCCGTCGTGACATCCAGGAAATTGCACCTCCTGCCAGTGTAAATACGAAGCATGTAGTGCTCTTGCGAGTCTCAGAATCATTCGCCCAATCACTGTCACAGTATCCTTCCAATTCCACACACATAGCCTCTTCCGGAGACCTAGTGTATGTAATTACATAGTCCGTTGTCCCCGCTAGGTAGCGAACCACCCGTTTGAGTGCTCCCACATGCTTACTTGAGGGTTTCGCTACGAATCGACTCAACTGTCCCACCGCGAACGCCAAATCCGGTCTTGTTCCCGGGTGGCCCAAGGTACATAAAGCATCCCCACGGCCTTACGATACGGAAAGCTAATCACAGATTCTCCATCTTCTTCAAGAGGTACCAGTCGCATGTTAGTCTCCATCGGATTCCCCACAGCATGCGCCTTCTCAAAGCCTAGAGCTTCCAAGATATCGCGGGAGTACTTGGTCTGGCTAATCTTTATGCCTTCTACAGATTGCATCACCTCCACACCTAAGATTTGCTTCAATCATCCTTGATCCTTAATTCCATAAGCTTTGTCAATACCATCAAACAGTTTGCACTTCGATGCCTCACTGTTTGTTGCAACCACAATGTCATCCACGTATACCAGCACCAGCATGGTAACGTCACCATCAAACCGACAGTACAGACATGGTTCCGTCGACGAACGCAGGTATCCCTGCTTCAGCATCCACTTATTCAGTTCTGCGTTCCACTCCCTGCCTGACTGTCTCAAGCCATACAGGGCTTTCACGACAACGTACATGTGCCCAGCAATCTCGCATGGATATCCATCGATTTCCTTCAGGTACTGATGTATTCCCAACCACGCGTTCAAATACGCCGTGTTTACATCCCCTCCGTAGAGTATTAGCTTCAGGATTACAGCCAGAGCTGCCAACATCCTGAACGATGACATGCGGGCCACTGGTGAGAAGGTCTCCACAAAGTCAATGCCTGATCTTTGATAATTTCCAAATGCTACGGTACGCGCCTTGAACCGAATTACATACCCTTGGAAATCTGATTTCAACGCATAAACACATCCAGCTCGAATTGGCTTAGCATCCTCTGGTACTTCAGTAAAAGGAATTTTCTTTAGAACACCCTTTGCCCTTAAAGACGCCATCTCTTCCATTTTCGCTAGGCACCAGAAATCTGCATACTTGGATCGCATCGCCTCACGATGATACTTCGGGCCTTTCACCTGGTTTGCCCTTATCGGCTCACCGTTAGCATCCAATACTCTGACAGTCTTCTGCACCGCGTTCACAACGTACTCATCCAAGTAGCATGGCCGACGACATTCATCTGCTTCACGCAGACCAGCACGCTTGCGTTTCGGCTCCATCTTATACGCATCGCGCTCCACTCTTTCCTCCTCTGATGATGTTTCATCACGAAGAGTCCGTTTCCCAACTACCTTCGGACGTAGTATAGCACTAGCATCGACCGCTTCGTGATGTGGCTTCACATCTTCGAGTACTTATCGTTCATTGTCCGCCTCAGTCGCAACACCACTGACCACGGAAATAACATCACTTTCCACGATACTCCACTTTGATCGGGCTGTGATTCTGCTCCATAGTCACGGTCTTCAGCTTCATCTACTTCTGAACCAACCTGTACTGTAACCGATTCACTTCCATCGCAATCCGCAATGTTGTAGCCTTCGGACGCGTCATTTAGTTCCTTCAATGCTGCTGCAATTGCGCTATCCACGGCACTCTCCGCCTGCTTGCTAGCTCGCATCTCACTCTCAACTTCACTTGCTACAGCGTTCTGCGTTAGTGAGGAATTCGCACTTACGCCTCGATCAAACTCTTTTACGTAGCATGTCGACTGAGTAGGCCGTCGTTCACAGACACCATCATCATGGTCATATTTACCGTCTGGAACTTCATCTTCCACTCCCCAGTTCTCTTCTACATTCACATCATCGAGTGAGTCCTCCCCCTCTTCGAGTTCCATGGACTCGCCACTCAACTGCTCAGTGATTGTAGTGTCAGGGTCTTGTTCAAAGTGCAACGACTCCAGTTCTGTTTCCAGCTCTGTATCAATTTTATGTCGATCACGATAAAGTACCTCCTCCTTAACACGCAGATCAGAAACAAACTTCACCGTTCGTTCTTCTGGAAAATACACCTTGCATCCAACCACGTCTTCCGCATACCCAAGAACAAACCCAACTCTGGCATTGTCGTGATGCTTACGACGACCTGGAGTTAGAGGTATGTGCACGTAGGCCAATGCTCCAAAGGTTCTGATGTGATGGAGATCTGGTTTCACTCCCAACATCTTCTCATACGGAATACCTTGTACTCCCATGTTGAAACACCCTATTTTTTTTTATACGTAAACTGCGTTGTTCATGGCCTCTGGCCACAGACTGCGTGGAAATCCTGCTTGGATCATCATCGACTTAGTCATGCCGACCAACGACTGGTGCAAGCGCTCGCACAGGTTCAGTTGAGAGCACTTTGGATCAACTTTGACGTATTCGATGCCTCGCGCAGCGTACCATCCGTCAATTTCCGCGTTAACGAACTCCCCGCCCTTGTCTGTCAATACTTGGCACACCTTAAAGGCTTCCCGCTCATTACTAGTGCGAGTTTGTCCTGCCTGTCTCTCTGCCCAGAGAATGTATTGCTTCACGTGCTCGTTCACTACCTCGCTTGACTTGCTTGTTAGCATGCGAACAGTCACAAAACGAGAATATCCATCCAAAATCACCAGCATTGCCTTGTACCGAGTTCCGTTTTCCTTGCTTGGGATCAACAGATCTGCAAACACCACTTGATTTGGCTTCTCGAGCCCCCTGTCAAGTTTCTTCCGGTATGACTTTCTCTTCTGCTTTGCAAGGTGACACGCATCGCAATTTTCCTTTTGCCGCTGCGTTAGCATCATCCCTCGCACTAACCCTTTGTCCATCATGCTCTTCAGGTACTGTGGACACGTATCCGCTAAACGTTTGTGCCACATTTCCAGCGATGTAATACCATCAACAGCAGTCAGGTTTGCAATGTCCTTGTGATGTGGTCTTCCTTCATTTGAGTGTGAGGCGTAAAATCCCCATGTCGCCTCCACTGGTTTGGCAACAGCCACTATGATACCCTCATCCAGTATGTTGAAGTTGTGAGTATTGTCGTCATGCTCAAAGTTCAGTCCTTGTTCAACAGCTCGACCTGGTGAAATGAGTCCGAACTTCGCACCGGGCACGTACAGCACATCGTTCAACACCAACGTGGTCTGAACCCCATTCACCTCCAACTCTAAAGCAACAGTGCCTACACCAACGACGCGCGCCGCGAAGTCTGTAGTTACACCATGCACACTCTGCGAATTGCTTGTGTCCTCAGTAAATGCCTTCAAGTCAGCAGAGTTGCCAGTCACATGAGCGTTCGCTGCAGTGTCAAAGAACCACCAGCCGCTATTCATGTCCGGCTCCCCACTCACGAGCTGCCCAGGAACTTCATTGTGATTCACCTCACCAATTTCCAAAGTTCCAATGGCACCCGTTACCATCCCGACATCCTCATCTCCAGATTTCGAATTCGGTGTGTCAGGAATCGGCTGAAGAATAGTCACACATCCACGTGCTTTCCGCTTTTCTTCGCCTTCCTTCGCTTCGGCATCAGCTTTCATCTTCGCTCTCTCTGGACAATTTACCTTCACATGATCAGTGCTTCTACACACGAAACACTTCCTCATCCTCTTGAATCCAGAGTCTGCATATTCATCAGACTTGCCCTTGTCTCCGCTTTTGTTCCCAGTATTTCCACTGCTCTTCTGTAGTCCTCCACGTCCTTCTCCACTTTTCCGGCCGCGGTAGAATTCGGCCTGTCGTGCTGACGCCGACCAAATCATTTCGCGTACCTTAGTGGGTGTGAAGCTACTAGAGTCAGCACTGTAACGGACTGCAGTCTTCAGACTTTCAAACACATGTTGCTGCGGTAAGCTCTCCAGCATGATCTCCACCATGTCAATGTCCTTAACATCATACTTCAAGGTTTCCAACTCAGTCTTGATGTTGAACAGCTTGCATAGGTGTAGATTCGCGTCACCGCCGGGTGCTAGCTTTATGCCCCACAGCTCGCTCACCAAACGCCTAGTTGTGTGAACTTTCACGGTCTCATTAGTCTTGTTTTCAAACAGATCCACTAACGCTGCCCAGATATCTGTACCGGACGCCATGTCCTTTATCTGTTGCAGGATCTCCGGTGGCACAGACGTCCCGATCATTCGCCTAATCTACTTTTGCTTTAGGTCGAAATCCGCCTTGCCTTCTTCCGTACTGAGCTTGTCGCGCTCAATCTTACCGCTCACGATATCCGTAAGCTGCTTCTCCCCGAAAACCACCTCCATGTCCCACTTGTATGTGTACCAGTCCTTGCCATCCTCGTTCTTGGGAACACCGTCGTTGTCGTACTTGAGCCGCTCGCCATCTTGAGCAGTTTCCCGAAGCTCACTTGGAAGGTCCGCAGTTTGGGCTCAGAACCCTCTTGTGAAGTGCACTCGCTGCCAAGATGGATCTTCGCAGCACAAAAAATTGTCGAGCGGTACTGAAAAATTTACGCCACACTTGAGAGAGCGCTAAGTAAAAATTCCGGAACGCCAGTCACTCCATTACTCCACATCGTATTGTGAAGCTGTCTGTTTGAGGTAACCATGAAAACTACCATATACCATGCTAGTGCGTAGATCCATACACTACGCATCTGTACGACTGCGTACGTGACAAAAGACTCGGGTTTGATATCGAGAGCTCCTGCTTGAGAGAAGAAATGAGCTTCAAGAACATTGTAAGTGAATGGAGTATCTAGTAAATGAGCCAGAACGTAGCACAAAACTGGGAAGGAACTCCCGTACACAACACACTGCGTCGGTACTTTCATGAATAAATCTCGAGCTTTTCCTAAATCGAGATTTGCTTTGGTGTAACATACATAAAATAGCAGCTTACCAATTCCACGAAACCAGAAGTACAATTGCCCTATTGAGCGTAGTGCAGCTACGAGTCCATACCATTGAGTGACATCAGATATCAACAACCCAGTTTCGTAGCGATATTCTTTCACAAAGACCGTCTCACAGTCAGAGGAGGTACAGTCTCGAGCTCGGATGATAGTACTAACATCGGATCTTCGAACCCTGTAAAAGAGAGCCCACCACGACACACTTGCACGTACTCTTTACTCTCTAGAAACGTCAAATCCACTGTCATATTTGGGAACCGCGCTTGAACATCACGTAAGCGTGTCATCGTATGAACGTACAATAACCCCGCAGCTCTACTGCTAGTATCCAAAGGAGCACAAGAGCGATTGAGATTTGTCCATAATTCTTGACAAAAATGTGGGGTATGCGCACGACCTCCGTTAATAGGGAAGCAGATATCACGAGCGCTTATGGTGTTCAACAGATCAGGCGAGTAATACAGAGCGGAGTTGGTACGCCAATTAAAATTGTTGAACCAGTTCGAAAGTAAAAACTGATGGAGTCGATCGATATATTCGCTTTCGTCCGTAGAGTGAACGCCATCGGCCCGGATTTCAATAATACTAATTTCTTACGTGTTTTGTGGATGTTCGCGACCCCGTTGACAATCCCGTCGATCATTCGGAACACGACGATCATTCTGAATCTCGGTGTCGCTGACGCCCAGCGTCCACTGCGTGCGCTCCTGGACTCAGAAGCGTGATATCGATGAACTACGCCTTCGATTGTATTCTTGGGATGCCGTGGCTCGCGCGCTACCAGTCTGAAATCAACTAGCCTGCACGGTCGGTTCAGCGTCGACACAGC